CTGCCGAAATTACGTTTTTAAAATTATTTAATTGGTTCAGAATATGAATTAGAAACCTCACCTTCAAGTGTAAAACCAATATAACAAAATAATGTACACCAAGTTACCGTGATCCCCTTTTAATAAAAGTATTGCCTTTCGACTTCCTCTAAAACCCGGCATATGTGCCGTGGAAATAGCCAAGCTGGCATTTCTGATGCCCGAGTGCCGGCTGCAATGCATGTGTGATCGGGGCAAAAATCGAGGAAAGCGCACACATGTGACGTGGACAGCTGGGCGGACGCGGACGGAAGGGCCTTGCCAAAGGGGGTTGGGCGGTAGGGAAAGAGGGAGGGAGGGTGAAAGGCAGGCAGAAACAAAGGCAAACCGAACCGAAACGTCCTTGCCCCGCAGCAGGAAGCTGTGCGCGCAATCATAAAAACTTGAACGATCGACACGTGTGCAGAATTTCCGCGCGCTCTCTCGCAAAAAAGGAAAAGGAAAAAAACAGATCGCCAAGGAAAATGTATCGCATATGTTGGATGGATGCAGAGCATTCCCAGACTGAGAGGCCCACAGATATCGATACGCCGATGGCAAAATCCCCTAGGCAGCTGTTCCAAGCTGATTCAAGCTGGCCATGTCCATGTCCACCAAAAACGGTAGCCGTGCAACTTTCTATGCCCATGCAATCAAATCGCAAAACGCACCGCAAAACGAGGGAAGTTTGGGAGGAGGTAGGGAATACAGTTGAGGCACTACAGCAAACAGCTGCCAATGCCGATGGACGGACGCCTGACTTTCATTAGCATTTCTAACGGCCGACGCAGCTGCCAAAGACTCCAATTCACATCCACATCCACTCCAATACCAAACAGATGGCGATGGCTCGGAGTAAGTAGCCGCTGGATGCTGTATGCTGGACGCTGGACGCTAGACGCGAACTGGATCGATCCGAGACGACAAGGTGAAATCTGTCTGGATGCACTCGAAGAAATGTCATGCGGATTCGAAAAAGGAACGAAAAATGTTAATTAAATGGCAATATCTTTTTCATAAATTGTTATTATTACTAGTCTTGTAACCAATATATCTAAAAAAATATTTAAAAAAATTGTTTTTAATATTACACACTTTTCATTATTTTAACATTGTAGTTTTCGAAGCTTTCTTTTTTTTTTGGTAAAAAACTATATTGTATATAACAAAAATAATGGGTTTATACTATGTTATTACTAATATAGTAAATTGAAATACAGAGATTCTTTTTGGGACTGGAATTTTTAAATTATTTATTATATTGTCCAAATTCTAATCCGAAAAACTACAATTTAAAAATAAATAAATGTGTTTTCTTTTTGAAAATATTACAAGATTTGTAATAAAATTAGTGTTAGATTTATTTAAAATACCTATTATATTTACAATACTAATTTATAAAAAATTCAAGTCGAAAAACTTTAATGATAATAAAAATAATTTACAGAACGAGACTCAACTGAGAATACATTGCCCAAAATTTCCTCTTCAAATATCAACACACGACAAAGTGTACTTTACAATCCATAAATTGAATTTTTTTTCTACCCTTCATAAATATTTCTCGCAGTGCAATTACAGCAGCTGTACGTTTTGCCCGCTGGCTGCATTTGCGTTGGAAATATTTTTAATTGCTATTGGAATTTTTCCATGTGCGCCTCGTGGACATCTTTCATTCGCTTGCGGATTGTGAATTGCGGATAGTGGATTGCGGATTCGTGTGGGTTGCCAGTTGCAAGTTGCAAGTTGCAAGTTGCCGGTGTGTGCGGAACTGTATCGCAGCAGTTGGTCTCTGCAACAGTTGCAGTTTCAGCTTGCTGCTGCTGCAACATCAACTGCGTGACAATTGTCCAAACAGCCAGCCAGCCAGGCAGCCGGCATTGAATTCAATTAAAGCCGCTGGCCAAAAGCAAAAGCCGCTGACCGTTTGACATAATAACTGGCCACATTAGCAGCAATTGGCTGTGGTCAATTAACTTTTTTCTGCACATTTCGCTCTCTTTTCCCCCGTTTTTCGCCACGCTTGTCGCGCTTTTCCTTATTTGCAACATTCATTGACACCTGCAATTGTGGAGTTTCAGGTTGCAGGTTGCTAGTTGGCTAGTGTTGCAGGTTGCTAGTTGCAGGTTGCTAGTTGCTGGTGTTGCTGTCGTGTTCATGTTGTTGATTGGCAATCAATTTGTTGTCCGTTTTTATGATTCGCAGTGCGTCAATGTCAACTAACTGTTTTTCTACCGCACTCTGGCAGTTGGTTATTTATGATGTTGTTGCAGTTGCAATTAACACGGCAGCAGCAACATGTAGCATCGGGATCGGCCATAACAATGGCCAAAAGTAAATGTTGTATGTGGGTGTTGCAGTTGCGATGTTGCCGTTGCCGCTTTGTTGTCGATTGGCGGCGCGTGTTGCAGACGTGAAACGTCTACCAGTTTTCAAGTCAGCCGAGCCCAGACATATGGCCAAGATAAGCGGCATAATTATGCAAATTTGTTATAACAATCAGCAAGAAACCACAGCAACAACGGCAATTCCGCGACAGCGACGGCGACGGCAACATTTTATGGCCAGCGTTAAATGCCGTCAACAGCAATTGCAATTGCCATTTATGGGGCGTTAGAATCAAAGTTATAACATAATCACTTGTGATAGTTTTTATTTATTTGCTTATATTTAAATACCCGTCATCTTAAGCCTTTGGCTTTCATTTTGTGCATAGCCCGTCTAGGACTCGAACAAAGCCTTCATAAATTGCCTTTTGACCAACCCATAATAAACTTAAAAACCCCTATCGGGGGAAATTTGAATACAAACATTGGCAATTGACAGAGTCTGTCGGGCATTTGGTAGCAACAAATCAATTGCAGTAGCAGCAACAATCTCCTTTTTATGGCAAAATACAGTCAGATAAATGCTTGTGACAGAATAATAATAAAAATAAAAAAAGATAAAATTAAAATTACTGAGCAGTACTTTTTGGTAATTTGCAAATTAAAAACTAAATAATATAACTTAATTACTAATTGAGAAAAAAGTTTAATTATTACAATAAAATAATCTTATGGTTTTCGTATTACGTTGTTGGAAGACAATTAATTATCTTTTCTTTGATTTCAATTTTGAAATATTTAAATTTTGTCAGGAAGAAATATTTTTATTTTTATCATGGTTTTGTTATAATCATTATATAATATTGATTTAAGATATATTAATTTTTAAAAATAAACTATAGCTTACGAAGTAAGATCTGCAGAATCTATTAGGGTAACAAAGTACTTCCTAATTAATTATTACTTTCTAAAAATATATAGTTTATATTTTTTTCTTACATTTTATTTGATTGTGAATTTGGCTTGCATAGTTAATTTTTCTCAGTGCAATTGGTATTCAGATTTCTTAGTGGCTAGGCATCGATCGCCATTCTCCGTTCTGGCTGGTGACTACGCATGCATAAATGCCTTTATAATCATTTCGTTGAACAAAATTTAGACGTCACTTGGCTGTCAGTTGGGGTTTGATCGCCTGACGAGTTGGACATGTGGAAGACTTTGCAGGAGCAACCACATCCGAGATCCGAGATGCGATTTTCAAAAGAGACCCAGGGCACCAGATCATGTCCATATTTGCATTTTTGAAATGACACATGGAAATTTTACGTTGTTTTGCCTTTTGAAAGCGAGCGGCCAACAGATTGACAGCAGCTGCAACTGATGACAACAGCAACATGAGACACAGCAGCAGCAGCAACAGCAACAATGGCCTGGAATGGTAAGCGAAAGTCGTGCGCAAATCCGAGCAGGCGACAGCATATGGATATGCTATATGTGCTATATATGCTATAAGGCTATAGCCCGGTCGTTGCCAGAGATAATTGCTGTCGCATATTTTCCACTCGTCCACTTGTTGTCGCCGGCACAGCAGCAGCAACATGGCACACAGCAGCAGCAGCAGCGGCAGCAACATGTGTTGCTGCTCTCGGCTTTTGGCCGCCTGCCTTTTTGGATTATGGCAACGCGAACAACATGTTGCAACTGGTAATCGGCAAACAGCCCGCCGGCTGTGCAAATATTTGGAACTACCCCCGATAGGAAGTTACTTTACGGGCCATCATCTTCACCACATGTGTGCCATACTATAAAGCATGCACTTTCAATGCAATCCGCTCCACTGTGCGACCAAGTTCAATGTCTGGCACAACAACAACAATAACCGGCGAGAACCGAAAGCGAAACAACAAATAATGCAAAAACGAGTGAAAAGCGTTCCAGAGAGCAATAGTATAATTAAATGATATAGCCAATTGACAAATGCCCTGTAAATTGAATGGACACACAGGCATTTGCGCGGTATCACATAAAATGTCTTGATTTAACAGACAATTTTGATAGCCATTGGTAAATAATACTTATGAAATCATTTGATATGTTGTAAAGCTTGAAAAATATTTACTGATCAGCAAGAATATTTCTAAAACGGGTTTAAAGAGAAAGCCTATGACTTATAGTATAAGTTATTAAATTTGACTGTGATATAACAAATAAAATTTAGGGACTTTTCAGAAAATTATTAATCAGAGGTTAGGTAGAAAGTTTGGAACTATTGATAATACTAATCTGTTTGTTTTTATTTATAAAATATTTTTTCTGGTCATGTGGTTTCTATTATCAATTTATACAATTGAACTTGATAATTATTATGATTAAAGTTGAAAAAAATATTATTATTATTTTGAATTGGTTGTAAAAAGATAATAATGCAATTTGTTTACCGAACCCCGACCTCTAAAACAAGTGCAATAACATACAAAACGGTTTATTGTCATGCACAAAGTGAGCACACTACATATTGTCCATATTTTTTGCCGTCACAAGAGCGTCATTCTCCGAGAAAATTCCCCGTTCGGAGAGAGATAAAAAGCGAGAGAAACGCAATCTCTTTTTTCCTGCGCGCCGGCAAAGTGCCTCTTTTGTGGGCTTAAGGCCCGCTTTTTGCTCAGTTTGCCGATAAAGACACAGCCACATGGACATGCACAGGCTGATCTACGAGGTGAAGCAGCGGCCCGCTCTCTGGGACTCCACGCATCCGGACCACGCCAACCGTCCGGAGACACAGCGCCTCTGGCACGCAGTGGCGGAGGCAGTTGGACTCGGTGGTGAGTACACTAAGAGAAATTACCAAGAGCCAAACGGGCAAATAATGAAAGAAAATATGTAGAACTTTGTCACTAATTACTATCATTACTTATTTAATTATTAATTATTAGTATTATTAATACTAATTACTTATTTGAGTACTCATTAAATAATTCAAAATATTGTATAAATAAGCCCAAAAGTCAGTCCTCTCTTTAGTTTGCTCGTCACACAGTTCTTAATTTGTTATTCATTTGGGTTACCAATTATAAAATTATTAATTCAATTTGTACACTAATTCTTAGTTTTAAGCTTTTACTTATGGAAGTAAGTCTTCAAATTTTGTAAAAGATGTTGGAACCTCTTTAAATATTACTAACGATGTATTCAAAATTTCAAACTTATTTAATTATATTACTAATTACTTTTTAAAATATATTACTTTTTGCATTTGAATAAGCTCAACAGTCAGTGTGCTATATTTATTGCATGCACTTTATTCAGATCATAATTGTTTTGTATTTCAAAAATCTAACTCTATGTTTATTAGAGATATATGAAGAATCAAGTTAAGACTAGTACTTTTTTTTTCGGTGTAACATATAGTATATGAGTGCTTTGTTTACGTCCTCATAATCACATTATTATTATTTCTGTGCCCTTTTCAGTCGATGTGTGTCGCGGCAAATGGAAAAATCTGCGATGCAGTTATCGCCGCCAAAACAGGCGAAGTGGTCTCCAGAAGCACCAACAACAACAGTCACCATCGCCGGGTCACCAGTGGTCATATGCGGAGGCCATGAGTTTTCTCGATGGTCAGCGATTGCTGCGGGAGGACAGGGATAGTAGCAACAACGAGGAGGAGGAGCTGGAGATTTCATTGAAGGAAGATCCGGATACGGACACCATGATGTCGACCCTTAAGAGCGAACAGGAACGCTCCTCGTCGGGTCCCGATGAAATGGAGGCGGATAATGATGCTCTCATGCGGGAATTCCAGAATGTTGCCACTCCGCAGGCCTTGCGACGACTCTCCGAGAGTATTTCATTGGCCAGCGCAGCGGCTGAGGAGCAAGTGCCTCCAACAGCTGCCGCCTCGACGGGGATGAAATTTGCAACCGGAAGATCCATAAATCCGAATTTAACCCAAGGAAGTGCCATGGCAGCCGCGGCAGCCAGCAGTTGCCATTGTGCCAAGCGGGTGGATGAACAGGTTAACTTTCTGGAGAACTTGGAACGCGAGGAGCAACAGCTGATGCAGTCAACCAGCCAGGATTTGGCCAGGTGCAAGAGTGTCCTCCATGTGGGCGACTCGGATTACAATTACCTGATCAGCTTTTTGCCGCTGATGAAGCAAATGACGCCCATTCAGAATGTGTTCTTTAGGGCCAAAATGGGGGAACTCCTGCTGCAGACCATGCAACAGCCGCCGGTGCAGCAGCAATCGCAACAACTGGTGTTGCAGCAGCAACAGCAACAGCAGCAGCAACAACAGCAGCAGCAGCCCTCGCAAATGTTGTTGAACCAACAACAAATGGCCTTGGATCAGGCGCAAGTGAGCACCAGCTCAACAAATTGGAACTAAATCGAGGATTGGAACTGAACAAACGAGATATATACATACCCTATAAAACATTTAGTATAAAGCTAAAGCTAAAAGTGAGAGCGAGAGCTCCACAGTGCGCAGGTCCAGTGCACCGTGGCCGCTCCGAGATTATTTTGGACTTTATCATTGCATATGAATAAATATAATTAAACTGAACGATGTTATAAATGTACATTTTTTATGCTTTCAGTTGTGGGGGTTATTTTTACATCGATTTTAATTTGATATGATATTTTTTAATGGGCATATTAAAACCAAAAAATGGCAATGGTTGAATTGCTATTACAGATAAAGAAAAGCCCCTTCAATTTTACAGAAACATTAAGCTTTGAAGATATATTTATTTATTTATGCGTGCAATTCTGACGGTTATTTTAAATGCAAACCTCCTGTATTGCAATTTAAAATTAATATGATATTTTTCAAAGGATTGCTCCCAAAGATAAATAATATCATTGCTTTATATAAATATTAAAATTGCACGATGCTATAAATGGAAACACTTTTAATGCTCTCAATTCTGGGGTCTATTTAAGATTAAAAACCTCCTGCATTGCAGTTTAAAATTTAAATTGCTACGGGCTGATTGCTTTCAATTACAGACACATTAGGCTTTGCATATTTATTCATTTATTTATTAAATAAGGATTTGACTCTGTGACTAAATATTAATTTAGCATGATGACCGAGTCCTCTGCCGGCAAACATTGCTCTTTTCAGCTGCGCCTGCGCCGCTAAGTAAACCCAAGGAGATATAGTGACAATCGTGTGGGCGTTCGAGTGGATTCTGCAGCCTGAACTTCAGCTTTTCTGTGTGATTGCCAGCTGCAGATGCAAGGGCATCCGACGTAATCTCGCCTCCGGCTGCCCACACATGTCCGCATTTAACTTTAACTTTAACTTTAACCGGGGAACCTCGCCTCGCGTCGCATCGCCTCAATAAATTACTATACACTAGAATGAACCCCATCGTCGGTGGTCCTGCGTTTTCCGTCTGTCTGTCCGTCTGTCCGTGTGTTAAAAGCCAAGTCCAAACTTAACATGACCATAAAAAAAGAACGCGGCTACAAAAGCAAACAGTGGACGGGGAATAGGTCGCTCGAGAAATCAACGCAGCTGCGGATGACGAATCGAAATTGACATTGAACTGGAGGCTGGAGCCTCCAGAGCATTGGGTCTTCGAAGGGAGGGGGAGTGGGAGGGGTAGGGGTTTTCTGGGGGAGAGGCGACAACATCGACTCGGTGGCTTTTGCTTTTGCTTTTGCCTCGTCGACGACGTCATGTGTTTGAACTTGTTGCAGCCAGTTGGCAGTTGGGGCATGGGCATGGCCATTGGCTTCGGCACTTGGTTGTTGGTTGGCTGTAAGTTGGCTCGTTGGTTTGTTGGTTGTTGGCTCTTGGCCTGCCCCATGAATTCCAATTTCAATAGCAGCCAGCCTCAGAGGTTACCAATGCACTCTGGAAAACTAAGGGGGCAGAAAAGAACAAATAGAAATAATGATTGGGATAGAATAGAAAAGAAATAGTGATTGAGAGATGGGTTATTAGGTTGAATTACCATTAAGCAATGCCCTGTTTTACAAGCTTTGAATTTTCACAAGTTCTTAAATATATAATTTAGCCATTTTGAAAGTACCTACAGGCAAATAGTCAAACATTAACTCTTTATAAAGAAAATATGAAAAGTTGCTTGTATATTTTTTTTTACCATCACTTTAATAATTTTCACTTACCAACTAATCCTACACAAATATGTTATTAAGTTTTGTTAAAAGCATTTCAAATTATTTCTTTTAATTATATCTAATTTTATTATATTTTCTCCATTTTTTGAGCAGTATGCAAAGCTTTCTGAAAAACAGTTTAAGGTGTGTTCTTGAGCTTGAACGCCGTCGAGCCCACAGTGGCAGTCACCGATTCCAGTGATTGGAAACAGTTGGGGAGCTGAGCTGGGTTGCAAAAGAAGGTGATTGAAGGGGCGGGGGGGCGCAATTAACGGCAGCCAAAAGAAACATTTGCAAATCGAATGCAAATTGACATTTGTCACTCGAACGTGCCCATGGCCAATGCATTAAATTCCACGCTGCCCCGAACATTCCAAATTGAATTTCCATTCTCTCTTGGCCGACGTTTTTAGACCGGGCCAGAAAACATTAAGAACAATAAAGATACCCGAATCGGTGATGGATTTTCGCACCTCTCCTTCGACGTGTTAATGATGCGGATGGCCGAGAAGTGCATTTACCTGTTCGCTTTTGTTCTTTCGCCGCCGCTTTACGGCAAATGCAAATTTTCCCTCTATTCAGCTCACGTCAAATATTTGTAGAGATTTCCATGAGAGAGTGCATTCTAGCACACAGGTGTTAAGTCTCGCAGACCATTGTTAATGCGTTTGTTGCCGTGCCGGTTGCATCCTCATCGTCTTTATTTGCCACAGCCACCGTTAACATGTTGCGGAATTTCCAGAATTCGCTTAATTCATCATCCGGAGCTACGACGAAAGGGTTTCGCATTCCACTTAAGAACCCCGTCTCTAACACCTTTTTGCCTAGTTTTGCATGGACAACAGGTGCAAAAGCAGTAGATGTTGCAGATGTTCAATGGATGGGTAATAAAAAAGGGGTGGCAAACAAAGGGATTGAGCAACATTTGCCCAGCAATTGCTGTTGGCCAGGTATAGGTATATCGGAGGTATGTTAGGAAGCCAGTTGTTCCGTTCTTTGTCTTTGAGTAATATTTCATTTAGATATAAGCATATGCGTTTCATATATGATAACGAATGGTACGAAGATTCAATTGAAATATTTCATCTTAGAACAACATTTAAATTTGTTGTTCTGTAACATTTACTTTTCTAAGAATTAAAAACCTATGTTAATGACTGTTAAACTTAGACAATGGCATATATTATATTATGATTTATTTTTTTCCAGAAATATTATTTTTCAATACTTACTTTTACTTTTCTAAGAATTACAAACTTATGTTAACAAATGTTTTATTTTTTTTATTCCAGGAAGCCGGTTAATCTTTTTGAATCTTGAATGTAAGTGCATATTTATTACTAAACTATATTTTTTATAGTTCCTTAACATACATTTTGTAAATTTTATTGATAATCTGCATACTGTTAAAGTATAATTATTAATAGCTTAATGATCAAATTTGTCCATTACACTTTAATTTAAAAGTTTAATTTTAATATTTCCCCGCTCGCAAACAAGAAGCTAATTATTTCTTTTTATTTTCTCATACACCTTTACACATTACACTCATTCCCCAGAGCCTTGCAGTCAGATTTGCAACTCTATAATTTAGCCTCATCATTAATTTGGCTTTTGTAGCTGACCAGAACGGACGCTTTCTTACCTTATTTTTAATAAATGCCTGTGACACCTCTTAAGAAGATTATGCACATAAGGTTGCACATTATCCTCGCTGCCCAGATGTTTCCAATCCCCCTGAAAATGTGTCTTCTTTCGGAGTTGGCTTCCTACATTCGATGGGCTATAATCTTGATCCGTTTGGGCCGCCACAAACCAATCAAAACATGCACTTAACATTTTGGCTGAACTCCCCGTCCAGCTACACGTACATCGTTAGCACACAAAAAAATATGTGTATAGATGCTGAGTCACTGAGACGTGGTCCGAAAATGTACCGCCCTCATCAGAGGCCCCTTCTCATCTCATCTCTCCATGTATGTATATTTGCTATGTTTTCCATTCGGCCAAGCAAAGCAAGCAATCAAGCGGAGTCAGTGGGGCCATTGTATTGCCATTGCCTCGGAGCAATCAATGCTGTATGACAGCTAGGTTAACTGCCACCTCCAACCCGCTTCTACAAAACTCCCCCCTCCACATCACATCTGCGATCCTACGCGCTTCCTCTTGATTTCGTTAAGTAAATCTCCAACTTGGCCAAGCGGCTGGGCAACCTTCACGTGCTCGTCGTCGCTGGCGTCACACAGTTTGGACCACAATAATATGGTACACTAAAGATATAATACTTAAAAAAAGAAATTTCAAGCAAATAACTCTTGTGAGGTTAGAAAGAAAGAAAGAGGCGGCCACGAATAATTTTATTAAAATCAAGTTCATCCATCGAGAATATTTGTTATGTTATAATGCTTGTATATCTTTTACAATTTGTATTATAAAAATCAAAACTTAACTCTGAAAACGTGATTTTTATTTTAAACATGACAACTATTAAGTTTTCTGGAAAAAACCCTATTTTTGTTCAACCAAAGTAAATTTTTTAAATTAAACTTCTGTACAAATAGTCGAAAACCTTAAAGCATAACTTTTAAGACTATGGTATTTAATAGTTATTTGGTTTTATAATAACTCTGCCTAAACTACTTTTTCGCCCCCAATTGTAGATGATGCTGGCGTCGCCAGCTGTCCGTCCGTCCACGGTTTCCATGGCTCGCAAGTCGCGAGATCATGATCATGGCTTTAACTGGCTCTTGGATCTTGAATCTTGGCTCTTGGCATAGCACCAGTATGAGTTCGAGTATTTTTAACTCTCCTTTGGACCTGGACGCGGCTGCGTTTATTGTTGTCTCGTTGGGATCGCCGTCCCTCGAACTTCACCTCTCCTCCTCAGCGTCTGTTTTCTTTTTAAACGCTTTTAAACACCTGAGAAACTTGCTTTTTAATGTGCGCACATGTGTGCGGTGCTCGGATGATGATGATGATGATGAAGATCGCCTCGCTCCTTCGGGTTCCCCATCCCCATCCACATTCACCTCCACATCCACATCCATTTCCAACTGCGACGACTTGAACTGCCTCGTTTGTGGCGCGATGATGAAGCAAATATAACAAATCTCAGAGTTATCAACCGACGACCGTCGCACAGCTGAGTAAATCAATTGACGCGCACAATTCTTGGAATTTTTTGTCGCCGCCGCTCTTTGAGAGCTCTTTCCCGGCCGTGATCTTCTATCTTTTGCTCCATGGAGCTTCGTGGAGCTATTCCGAATTGGATGTATTTACCTCATTTGCATAAAATGGGGGGAGCGTAAAAATGGGTAGTGAGGAAAGTCAGTTGTGCGCATAGCTGGATAGCAAAGTGTAGCAATATGTTTCTAGTTTTTGCAAATATATATTAAACTGTAATTAAAAATGATAAAAGATTGCCTGAATTTA